AAATTTTTAAAATAAAATAAAAAATAATACGTATGTACTTACGGTTTTGCCACAATATGAGCAATGAATTTTATCCATATCCATAGATAGCTCAGTGTAAGGCTTTATCCAAGTTAAAACATTGCTTATATTCGGTATTTTCAAAGCACAATAATTATTTACAATTAGAAGTACACATTGTTTACGCCTCCAATTTTACAACAAAAGTGAAAACAAGTGAAACTAACCGTTAAAATAAATTTTAAACTATAACAAGTTTAAAAGATAAAAAATTATTTTTACCTACAACTTACCAACCTCTTAGAGACATAAACTGGTTTACACAAACCCTTAATTCCGGGACAAAACCTTACAAAACTATAAGTCGCTGTCTTTTAGTAGTTACTATACCAATAATTTGAATACCAAGTAATTATAAAACAAAACTAAATATTGGCATTTTCATGCTATCTGTAAGTTTGAATATAAAAATATATAGTTAACACCAAATTTTCAAATAACATGCACTTTATGCTCACTTTTATAAAAACATGCAAAATTTGACATTTTTGCATTTTTTATGCATTATTTATGGAAAATGTGCAATTTGCATATTTGCCTAAGTATATTAATAATTAATTCTTGACAGACAGGTATCATAAGAGATTTTTCGGAACTTTGATCTAGAAAATTTGATTCTAGACTAGAAATGTTTGGTTTTGTATAAACTACAACTAATTTTTATAGGGAGGAATGTGGTATTCCTACTGATAAACATTTATTACATAATTCTATGATTTAATACCTTAATAGAAAAATGACTGGCCAATCACTGGGTAGTCTCCCCTTTATTGCAAGTATAGAAGATCGACCGCCAGATTGTTGAGGATATCTTACTGTTCCAGTCTGTTTATATTTATTCCTTAATTGTTGTAAATTACACAATGGTTTGTTCTTCAGAATCTTTAATAAATGTTATGTAACATAATAATATAAACAAAATAATCGTTTTCCATTAAAATATTTTTAATACATTAACCTTGATCAGTTTAATGATGATATTAACATAATTTGAAAAATTACTAGGAAAAACATCACTACTACCAGCAGGATATAAGCAACATTTTAAAAAATGCCATCCGGTGGGTTATCGGGTATAAGATTTCGAAAAAAAAATGTCGAGGCATCTTAATCTGTTATTTATTCAAAATGATAAGTTTTTGCTAATTATAAAGATTTTTGTAAATAAATCTTGACCTTTTCTTACTAAATCTGTTTGGTTCCTGGAAGTGTTAAATTGATTATCTCTCTTAATCTGACCTTTTAGTTTTTTAATTATCAAACAGGTATGAGTGTTTTATTAGTTAAAAACATCTATATCTTTATGTCAAGATATAGATGTTTTTATGTCATTGTTTAATATCATTAAACAAATGTCAAAGGCTAAACAGATCTTGTGTTAGAACGATATATTATTTCTTTATTTATATCATGCCTTTTGGCTATTAAAAATTGGTACAAAAAAGTATTTAACTCACATTAAAATGAATAGTAATGAATAGTCTAAATTAAAAAAAAATAACAAATTGTTCTCTTAAATTCTAAATAAAGTTTGATTGAATTTGAAATATGGAAAAAGTTAAAGAAACTAGAATAATAAAAAAAGATTAAAAATCGACTGGAAAAGAATAAGGTGCTTGAACCACTTATTTGTTTGATATTTTTGTAACCATTGTTTCTCGAAAACCCATTCCAAAATGTCTGCTTGACTTCTAGATGACTTCCCTCTATGGACGTGGCCTATAATTTCAGCGATTTTTTAGATAAGCTTGTCTATGTTATGCAATAAGGCATTTTCGTTAATAAGAATTAAGCCAAAACATCACAAACCCTGGACTACCAAGGTATCCGCATATAAGTCAAGAATATGCGTTCACTACTGTACATCAAGAAATTTACTAATGCTTTTGTCGCTGAATGTATCTCCAAGTAGACAAAAACCTATCTAAAACTTATCAAAACAGCGAAAACAATGTACTATGAGAATCGTCTGGGAAGGTCTAAAAATGTTGCAAGGGAAACTTGGTTGAATAATAAACGATCTTCGAAATAAAACTAACACAGCTCAAACATTTTCTCTTCCAAAACCCAAAAATCTAAATATGTACTTCGTTAATGAGAGTAAAAATATAACATCAGCTATTTTGCCACAATAATATCCTATTTCCTATCTTCCCAATTCAAAAAGGTCTCGTATTCATTCTTTATAAGACTAGTTGAAAAATCTGAACTGATCCACAAACAATCAGTAGTATCAAAAGCAAATCTTTCTGTAGTATTGATGGACTATCCATATTTTTTTTGACAGCCATTATTATTTCTATTCATAAGGGTAGTAATAAATCTAATGTCTGCAACTATAGACCTATTGCCTTACCACCAATCCAATCCAAAATTATTAAGAGACTTATAAAAGTCCTTTCTCGTTAAAAACAACATTTTATCACAAAGTCAGTTCGGCTTTTTATCTCAATAAATGTTGCTATCTAAATAATTGCCAGCGATGCTATGTTTTCTGTACTACATGAGGTCTATCAAGCACTAAACAATAATCTTTATAGTGCCACTGTTTTTTCTGACTAATGCAAAAACTTTTGATTGTGTAAATCACGATATTTTATTAAAAAATATTTTCTACGGAATTCGAGGTATTTCTTTAAATTGGTTTCAATCTTACTTGGGGAATAGGAAACAACTAGTTAGAGCAAATGATACTGACTCTAGTCACAAAAGCATTGTATGTGTAGTACGACAAGGCTCAGTACTGGATCCTCTACTTTTCCTTATCTTTACAAATAACATCAATATCTTAATTGTTCATAAATTTTAATTGGGCAAAATTTGTTCATAATTTTTCACAAATTTTAAAAAACATCAGTTTTGCTCTAGAAACAAAGAACATTTTTTTAATTTTCTTGAGCCATTATAAACAAAAAAAGTTTATTGTCATTTTCCTCTAAAGCTGGTATTTTTAACATATAACTAGTTATTTGAAGATATAAACACTTTCAAAAAGTTTCAGAGGGTATGAGGAACCTAAATCCACATTTTCAAGCAAATCCGTCGTGAATTGGAAAATTACACGTTAAAGGATTCCCCAAACCGACGCGAAACTTTCGCAGCCGCAACCTACGCGGAATCGCGGCGAATCATAAGGCACGACGTCTTATGCAGGTGTTCAGACAAGTTGGGGCGGAATCCGCAACGGTGGCGGCAGATCAGCGTTGTTTTGATGAAACGCTGCATGCACGATTTTTTCCGCTACAGTTAAAGTTTCGCGTGAATTAAAATGGCTGTTACAAAAAAACTAATTGAAATTGTGAAACAATATCCTATACTTTATGATTTAAGGGACGAAGATTTTAAAAATATAAGAAAAAAGTTTCATTGAAGTCCCAAAAATTGGAGTTTTAACAAAAACAAGAAGCAGCTGGCTTTTGCACTTCCAATTCTAATACTAGATGTTCTTCTCGGAGCAATTCACAGTTAACACCAATACTTTCCCCTATATGTGTCGATACTAACAATACTGAATGTATCCCGTACCAAGTTATTGCTTCTGGAGCTACCTGTTTTTTCAGTTTCGGCAAGTGCCAATAGTAGAAGACTTCTTCTTCAGACGAAGTTATTATGTATTTGTAAGCTACGAATAAATTACTAAAAATATAATTTGTTCACATTTGTATTGCGAATAGTGGCATCGGGTTTCGCGCCAATGTGCCTTGTCCGCTACCGCTCCGCCTGCGAATGTTCCGCAACGGAAAATTCGCGTAAAAGTTTCGCGTCGGTGCGGTGTGGGGAATCCTTAAAACGGCCATTTAGTGGAGTAATAGGTTTTTATACTAAATTTCAACAAGCGATGCAGAAGACGTAGTAAACATTAGCAGGTGTAGTCATGATACTATGAATAACAAGATAGGATCTTCCTGTAGCCCAAAATCGGTCGTGTTCGCGCATGCCGTCATTGGAGAGTAGAATTTGAATTCTTGTTAAAGTTAAATGGGATTTGTATGCATTCTGTGATGAAATTACTGGACGAAAATAAGTTAAGACGTTCAATAATTACAATAATTGTACACATAAGCATATCTCCAAACTATTTATTAAAGATTATTTATTGACACATACAAAAAACTGACATTTCGAACGTGCAACTCTCCAATGACGTCACGACTTATGCGCAATATCTTATCTTCTTATCATAGTATCATGGGTGTAGTCTTCTAACAGGGCCGCATTTAAGATTATTTCTTTGTTTTGCCAGAAGTATTATCTAATAAAATACAAATTTTATAATTTAATTTTGCAAAAATGTGAGATAAACAACCTATTTGTTTCTAGTTGATATCCTACAATGGGAACCATTTATACAGGGCGAAAAAATCGAAGCAAATTTTTTTTATTTCAAAAAAAGCCAAAAAATTTTATATACAGGATGTGTTCAAAAAATAAAAATTTTATTTAAATTTTTTTTGTATTTCTTTGTACGATTCCAGAAAGTTTAAGTCTTGCAAAACAGTCAGTTTTTTGAAATCAAAACACAAAGTGAATATAATTCGTTTGTGTACAGCGTAAATATGTGGCAGAGATCAAGGTCTCGGTTACTTTTAAACATTATTCTTATGAACTGGATAATAATATGTCACTATTATTACCGGTTATAAAAGGTGGTTTAATATGTGATTCAGTTATATAATCCAGCCGCCACATTATCTTGTCTACTTTTTCTTGAACATGTAAAATGAAGTTTTTTTCATATTTCTGGTGTAATTGATGAAATTAAATTATAAAATAGATTAATGGGATCTAAAAATGTTATAGTATATTAAAAATATGTTTTACATGTTAACTATTTTCAAAAGTAGAATGAATTCATCGACTAGTCATATAATCAGATTGAATATGGTTACAAACAACGAAACTTGATTATATGATGTCAAATATATAAAAATAAAACCAACTTGTTTATTGCAAGGTTTATTAGGTATCAAAACAATATTTCTGTAGCAACAACTGGTATTTTAAATAATTGGAAATGTGTTATTTTTACAAAATATAATATTTACATCATATAAGAGGCAATCTTTTCCACTTTGTTGATTAATGGGAAAGGTATTGAAAATAAATTACAATAAAATTATGATAATTTCAGATAAAAATAATGCGTTTGCTTTAAAATTTAATAGAAAAAACTATTGTTACAAAACATGGTGGATAAAAGCTTTAAGATATACCTCTTTGTTCAAATATATAATTTTTTATCGTTTTCCGGATTTAGGAGATCCAATAACAACAGTAGGTCTGTATCCATCTTCTGTTGCTACAAATTTGACACTGACAGGGGTACCATCCAAAAGGGTGTATGAAAATTCACCATCTACATTTAAAGTTTGGTCGTTGTCTTTTCCAGTTCCAGGTTTGAGTACTCCCGCTTCTGATCTTTTGATTCCATTGGATGTCTCGAAACTGAAACAATAAATGTTAAAGTTTATAATACCTTTTTAAAAAAATACGAAAAAATTACGACTAAACTTTAAATCTGCAGGTGGGACCTTTTAGAGACCATTTAATCGGATGATCATTTATTTAATTATGAACGAAATAAAAAAAAAATTAAGAACTAAAAAATACCAAATGGGAGCAAAACAATTGAAAATAATCTGCTATTCAGATAACGCAATACTAATCTCCTACAGTGAAGACGATTTACAACGTATGCTACACCAATTTAATATAACGATATACAGTGCGTTAAGTTTTTGATTAGGTATTGCACACTATACGGAGCGCTAAAATCGGCAACGTTGCAAATGTTCGTTCTCCGACCCGAGACTATCTCAGTATCTACACCGACAGAAAATCATTTATTTTAGTTTAGTATATGATTTAGTAACTCACAACAACGTTTGGGATGTACTTCTCTGTCGTCCGATCTCATGTTTCATTACGTATAGCCGATTTTATTACTAGGAAATTCGATAAAAATGCACTGACCTAATCGGTGCATTGTTATCGATTTTTAATAATGTGAAAATTTTTTTGTGGTTGAATTAAAAATAAAAGCGTCATTCTTTAAAAAGATAAAATAAAAAATATACTCTTATTGAAAATTAAAATATTATTCCTAATAAAATAAAAAATAATTTTATGACCTACAGAAATGGTTCAAATAGTTGACCTTCTACGGCTGAACAGTACCCCAATCTGTTATAAAAACTTCTGCGAACAGATGAAAGAGTTTCTGCTGTAACAGAATTGGAGACTTCTCTTATTCGATTTTTTAATTCATCCAAATTTTGGGCTCTAGCCTCAGGATGAGCGTAGATAATGCTTTTTAAATGTCTCCAAAAAAGAAGTCCATGGGTGTAAGATCTGGAGATCGCGCAGGCCACTTAATATCGCCTGTTCCACTGATAACTCGATTCGGGAAAGTATTGTTTAAATACTCCCTAATAATTCGAGCGTTGTGAACTGAACAGCCGTCTTGATGAAACCAAACATTCTCCAGATTTACATCAGGAAGATTGAGAATAGCGGGAAGAACATGATTCTGTAACAAATCGAGGTATACTCTACTATTCAAGTTGCCCTCAATAAAAAATGGACCTATTATGTGGTCTCCTAAAATGCCAGTCCAGACGTTAACTTTTTGAGGACGTTGAGTTCGGTAAACAACACTTCTGTGCTGGTTTTCCCGCGCCCAATATCTCGTAATGGAAGGATTGTGTCTCCCTACTAACGAAACAGAAGATTCATCAGTGAATAAAATGTTTTTAATAAAATTTGGTTCACTATTAGCCTTCGTTATTAGAGTTTCACAAAACTCCATTCTTCGAAAGTAATCGTCTGGATAAAGCTGCTGCGTTTTCGAATATTTAAAATTCTTGTAACCGTGCTTTTTCCATACTTTCGTTACAGTAACATTGCTAACATCTAACTCTCTAGCAACGCTTCTACTTGAACGTGTTGAATCTACCTCGATTGTTGCACAAATTTGTGTATCCCGGTATTCTCTTTCCTCAACTTTTTCTGGTAACACTTCTTGAGCGTGACATTTTCTGCAATTTTTGAGGCAATAACAACTCTCAAAATTTTTAACAATATTATAAATTGACTGTACACAAGGAATTGGTCTTCCCTCAAAAAACACAGAAAATAAATCTACACACTGTTGCGCAGAATTGCCACTATAAAACCATTTTATTATTTGAGCTTTTTCCGCGGCCATATAAACAGACATGTTTACAAAAATAAATTAAAACTCTACGCTGTTATACCTTTAAACAACCACGGTATAATGACAATATGACAAATTTGCCGACGGGCGACGAGCAACGACGAGTCAACGAAGCAGATATATGTAGTGCAAGTCGACGACGCGCAGTGTTGCCATTTATAGAGTGTATACCTAATCCAAAACTTAACGCACTGTATAAAGAAAATAAAGGCAGGATCTACACAACAGTCATCAGACCAATAATGACATACGTGGAAGAAACACGGCCTGATACAGAAAGGACAAAAAGGATATTAGAAACAGCAGAGATGAAAATCTTAAAAAATGATGATAAGACACTATGGGAAAGAGCTAGAAGTACAAATATACGAAGTAGATGCAAGGTGGAGTACATTAAGAATTGAGTAAGAAACAGAAGAGTAGAATGGAAGAATCGTTTAAGCCGAATTACAAGAAAGAGAGTAGTAATGACGGTAACAGACGGTTCCTCAATAGGAGACGATCAGTAGGAAGACCACATAAACAATGGGACGACAACTTAAAGGAGGCACATTGAAAAACAGGCAGAGTTAGGACTATATATAAAGAAGAAGAAGAAAAAGAAGATATTTTAATTTTAAACTTTGATAGTATACAAGGCAACTATCGAACACAGTGATTAATTAAATCTTGCCCAAATACTTTCGATCGATAGATCATCTTCAGGGGCATTTCGTCAGTTGTGACCTATCCGACATGAGTAGAATGTCATAAAAGTAAAATTGGACATAACAATACAATACACAAAGACAAACAAACACTTTAAAATTTTTAAAGGAGAAGCTACATGTTATACAGAAACCGGAGACAGGTATCTGTATAACATGTAGCTTGAAGTTTAAATAGTTTCTTGTTTAGGTTAGTGGGTTTTCCCAAGGATCTCGAATGAATAAAAAGGTAAAGTTTCCTAAGGATTAGAATATGGGTTTTATTGTCGCACATTTGTTGGTAATAAACATTATTTTTGGTTAAGTTTCCATTTAAAATAGCCTTTCAAAAAAAAAAAGAACATGAACAACCTTTAACACAAGAGAACTTAACCCGGCGACTGTGTGGTGAAATTTTCTAACAGGAGCTGTGTGTTGGGGTAATTATCACCCCATTTTTTTTTTATTTATAAAATTGAGAAAATATTTTATTTTTACATGCAACCTTAAGATTTTAAATCATGGTTATATTGTTATATAATCTTTTTCAAAGTTAAATCATTTTAAAAATTTTCGTTAATAATTCAACGATTCAAAAAATATACTAAAATTTAGTTGATATTTAAACCACTACCACAATTTTTGTTAATAAAATTTTTATTAGAGATATAGAATAAAAAAAAACTACAAATTCTATAAAAAGTAACTATGATCTTTTGTTTAAAAAGCATAATTAACAATTATTTGCACATTTAGAACAAAAATATACACAATGTTCAAGACAAAGAAAAATGTCACATTTTACACATTTCTTTTGGCACTTTCTGTCCTTTCCACGGGGACACACTCCACATCTGGATGTTGTTCGTTGTTTCTTGTTTGAAGGTCCTTGAGAGTCCTCTCCGCTGTCATTTCTTTTTAGTTTCGCTCTTATGTCTGATGGTATTCTTTGATTATTACCTCTTTTTTCAATATATGGTTTAATTAGTGCCAAACCAAGTTGTTTTAAAAAAAATCTGCGTTTTAGTTTTTCATTTGGCTTGTTATGTTGATAAATAACATAACTATTTATTCCTGCATTATTAAGCAGCGAAAAAAAAATTGTTAGTGGCCATCGCTTGCTATTACGAGACACATTATATAACGCAGACATTTCGTCAACCATATCCACTCCACCTTTTGTGTGATTATAAAAGTCTATAATCTCAGGTTTATTTAATTTGTGGTCAAATTCTGTATCATGATGAAGTGAAGAAGCTACTAACACTATTTTATTTTTCTTCGGGACAAAGGACACCAAAGAAATGTCTTTTTTAAATCCGAAAATTGCGTGGTTTTCAGCTCTGTTTTTGGAATTCAAAAAGATTGTCGGTATTTCCCTCTTGTTTTTACGAATAGTTCCAACAGATGTTAACCGATGTTCACTAAGCAAATGTTCCATTAGCGGTATGCTGGTAAACCAGTTGTCGAATGTAATGTTGCGATTAGTACCACGAATTGGATTTACAAGCCTGTTTACTACATCAAACGGTCTATTACTAAATTGAAAAGGTCCCTCAGGCTGTGAGCCAACATATACCTCTAAATTTAAAATGTAGAATGTTTTGGCATCCACTAAGGCAAATATTTTAATGCCATATTTGGACGGCTTATTGGGGATATATTGCCGAAAGGAACAACGTCCCCGAAAAGATTCTAATTTTTCGTCGATCGTCAAGTATTGACTAGGAATAAAATATTGTTGACAATTGGATACAAATCGATCAAAAACAGCTCGTATAGCTGCCAGTTTATCTACTCTTTTTCGTTCGTCTCTATTTTCGATATTATCGAATCGTAGGCACTTTAAAAGTAATATAAATCTTTGCAGGGACATTGTTAGCCTGAAAATGTCAATTCTTGTTCCATCTGTAGCCCAAAGATCCTCCAGATTTAACCTATTGGCTTTATAAACGCCTGATAGATATAGTAATCCGAAAACTGCACGAATTTCTTCTGCGTCCGTAGGCTTGGTGATATATTTATGTTGGTCATTATAATTCTGAGCGACTAAACTGATTTTTTTATTAGTGCATTGGACAATATCTTCTACAATAATATTATCCATGAATAATTCCCAGCAAGAAATGGGTGATTTGCAATGTTTTGCATTATTTCGAACACCGGGAAGTAAAGTAATTAAATTTTCTTGTCGTGTTCTAACCGATTTATTAGGACAGTTCTTTGACCATTTTGTTTTCCCATCCCGTCCGATAAAAAACTTAGATTGTCTTACTTTATCATCTTCAAACTTATTGTTGTCTTGAGAAGATTCTTCCGACGATGATTGACTTTCCTGATTAGAAGTTCCAGGCTGACAATTTTCCACTGATTGAAGTTGGTTTTGTAAAACATCCTCACTGGAACTAAGGCTAACCTGCTGACTTTCATTTTCAGATTCGCTTTCTGATCCTAACTCTGATCCAGTTAATTCATCCTGCCAAAGCTTCAAGAGAGCTTCTTGTTCTTTCTCCCAACTACACATATTTCGATATGTCTGAAAT